CACAGGAGGGCATAGTGAAATCTGGTTAAGCTCTGTGGATTATACCAAGGTCAACTTCATGGTTTTGAGAGCACACTATAGTCATGTAAGATATTACTTTTGGGGGGAGACTGAGGGACGAGTATGTGGGAACTTTCTGCACTATTTTTACAATTTCACAGCAATCTATATTATTTCAAAACAAAGATTTTAAGAAGTGAAAAGGTAAGAAACACAAAGCTCCTGTTCTCAAGCTACTTAAAATTGATTAGGGAGATAGACTAAAGAGATAATGCAGGAGCATAATAAAAAGTGATTTAGAAGAAGAAGTATTAATTTGGGGGCGTCAAGTTCAAGGAAATCTTTTCAGAAATGGGGGTGCTTGAGCCAGACCTTGGAAGGTGTGGATGAGCTTCGCATAGGAGGACAACGGGGAAGTGGTCAGAGCTGACCAAGGCCCTGCATGGTCAGATAACTTCCTTGCTCTTGGATTAATAAGTCTCAAAAAGCCATTATTTTAGTCCAGTTTCACCTCTCTGAAACTAAATATACTTCCTGAAAGAAACTCACCAAAGACTTTACATTTGACCTGGATTGTATTAGAAATTAATGTCATGATTTACCTTGTTCTATACAAAATATTAATGGGATATTCAGGCTTGAGAAACTATAGTTCCCTAGTGAGTCTGTTTATGGGGTCTATGAGTTTCTTGCTTTGTGTAAATGTAACGGTAAGAAAAAAAAGGAGAAATGTTGTCAAATTTTCAATAACTTTATATTACTAAGTCTATAACCAAGTTCTGCATCAGTGGATTGCTAGATTCTATGCTTACTTGGAAGTGATCCTGGTATTTCAGACAAAGTGATGAAAAACGTGTTACAATTGACCTGACTAGTCATCTACTCATCTAAATTTTTTATCCAACTTTATTGAGATATAACTGACAGATAACGCTGTGTAAGTTTACAATATACAATGTGATGATTTGATACACTCATATATTGTGAAGTGTTTACCACAGTAAGATTAGTTAACACATCCTTTGCCTCACGTAATTACTCTTTTGTTGTTATGGTGGGAACATTAAAGCTCTCCCAGCAACTTTTAAATACACACTACAGTATTGTTAACTACAGTCACCATGCTGTAAGAGAGCTTCAGAACTTACTCATCTTAGCTAAAAGTTGTGCCCTTCGACCACATTTCCCCATTTCCCCCCACCCTCCCCCTCAACCACCATTCTACTGTTTCTGAGTTTGATGTTTTTAGATTCCACAAATAATTGAGACCATGCAATGTTTGTCTTTCTCTGTGTGACTTACCTCACTTAACATAATGCCCTCAAGGTCCATCCATGTTGTCATAGGATTTCCTTCTTTCTTTATGGTTGAATAATATTTTACTCGCGCGCGTGTGTGTGTGTGTGTGTGTGTGTGTGTATACCACATTTTGTTCATCCATTCATCTGTTGATGGACACTTAGGTTTCTATGTCTTGGCTGTTCTGAATAACGCAGCAATGAACATGGTAGTGCAGATATCTTTTTGAGATAGGGAATTGCGTTGCTTTGGATATATACCCAAAAGTAGGATTGCTGGGTCATAGGGTAGTTCTATCTTCTCATCTCAATTTGATGAGATTCTGATGAGTTTATAAAAAACACAACAAACCCCCTCTCCCAAAAAACTCCAAAACATTTTCTCATCTCTTGCCTTTATTTTTCAAGTAATTCTGGTCTAGGGTAAACAAACATGACTTTCTGAATGGTGTCCCAACGATATTTATATACCATTTGAACACATTTATACAGATATATACTGTCAGACATCCTGGATTAAAATCATGACTCCTTCACTTGTGCAATCTTAGGAAAATTTGGCTTTTATATCTCATTTTTCTCTGTGCCTCATGTGACCATAGTTTTATCCCATAGGCTTATAAGTTTTAAATGAGATATTTCCTGTAAAACTCCTAGCAAAAAATAAACTCTTACTCAGACTTATCATAGTCAATATATTTGCTACAATATGCAGAGCAAAAAATAAAAAAAGTAGAGATATTGGTAAAAAGTGTTCTCTTCTTCTGTACTTCATAGTTTGTTGATTTTAAGCAGAAAAGCTTAGTGTATTTAAAACGTACTTTTTATTGAAATATAACATATATAATAGAAAAAGTGCACACATTGCAAAAGCATAGCTTGAGAATTTTTTAAAAGATTTTATTTATTTATTTGTTGGAGAGAGAGAGCACAAGCAGAGGGAGCGGCAGAGGGAGAAGCAGACTCCCCGCTGAGCAAGGAGCCCGATGCGGGGCTCAACCCCAGGACCCTGGGATCACGACCCGAGCCAAAGGCAGAAGCTTAACCCACTGAGCCACCCAGGAGCCCTGTCTGTATGATATTCTTTACAGCAATGTGTATAATTACAAAAGATCCTAATCCATCTGAATCTCTGCTGATAATGAAATTCCATGTAGTCTATCATAATGTTCCATATGAACTGATAGAGAAAAATCTCCAAGATATATTAAGTGATCAAAGCAAAATGTGAAAAAGTACATATAGTATGGTACAGTTAGGTGAAAAGAAAACCCCAATGAGTATCTATGGAGGTACTGGAATATGCATGGTATAATCCCTAGGAGGATACTCAAAAACACTGGTGAGAATGAATTGTCTTTGAAGGGGAGACCATGGGACCAGGAGCCAAGGCAGGGAGAGAGACTTACTTTTTATTGTATTCCCTATTTTTATCTTTTGAGTTTTGTACCTGTGTGTGGTAGAACGGATTCTTCCCCACTTCTGCACTCCCACATCACAGCATGATGTACATGCATTCTTGGTCGTGTGGTTTACAGCCTCCCCCGGTAGGGAAGGCAGACTACCCCACCCCCTGGGGCAGGCTCGGCTGGGTCATCTGCAGCAGAGACATGTGTAGGAGCGGCTGTGAATCCAGCAGAGCTGTAAACATGCTGCTATGATTGAGCTAGTCCTCTTTGTGCTCTTGGGATCTACCTTATGAAGAACAAGGTCCTCTTAGCTGCTAGCTCCAGAATGAACTGGCATGTGGAGCAGACCAGGACCCAACCCACCGGGTTGAGCCAGGCCCTGGTGATCCCAGCCCAAGGCAGAGCCACCCCCAGTCAAACTGCAGGGCTGTGAGCATGAAAAAGGAATGTTCACGGTTGGGAGCCCCTGAGCTACTCACGATTGCTTGTTACACAGCATTATAGCAATAGCCGAATAAGACAAATCCTGCAGGAGCTCTCTCAACTGACGTCCACTTAACTAGATTCCTATAGTAACCAATGCCTCTTTTCTCTCTGTAGGTATCTTAACTGATGTCCAATGCCTCTTAAATACTCATAACGAATAAGCTAATCTATTACGGCCACATCTTTCCACTCGTTCCAGTTGAACTGTAAGCTTACCAAGAGTTAGATATTTGTTCTCAGACTTACTTATGCCTGTTCTATCTGTTATAATGGTTATATTATTTAATGCATTTTGATTAATTTGGTTAAATGCGACTTTAAGAGACTGTACTGTTTGCATGAAAACTACACTTTCACTCGGTGTTATACGCAACTGATAAATTATTGAGCGCTACATCTTAAACTAATGATATACTATATGTTGGCTAATTGAATTTAAATTAAAAAAAGAAAAAAGAAAACTACATTCTACTCTTCGAAGAGCTCTCTAAAAGTCACTAAAAACAAACTTAGACAGTCCAATTTTGATAAATAAAAATTATACAAATATGGGAGGATTTGTACTTAAAATGGCTTCCCAAGTGTTTTAGAATTGTTATTCATTTGAAAGACATTAAAACTAAGGTTAAAAATGATGAAGTATGAATTATTTATTAAAGAATGATTATGTGGTATTTGACATCCGAAAGACCCTAGTCCTCCATGCAAATATTAGGGAGCTAATTTACATTTACTTGTTTAAAATTAACTGTGGGAGGTATGTATGTGTACCATTTATTTATGATTCCTTGAGGATCGTAAAGAGTTTTCCGTTAATGAAATCTTCATAGAAGGTAAAGAACTTTTGCAAGTTTCCACCACTCAGGAATCCAGAAACGGACACAAAACTTCACGTTCCTCTTGGAACTCCGTACTAAATGCTAAAATCAAGGTCTGGCATCAGTTAGAGAATGAAACAGAGCAAGACTTGGAATATTCCTAGAGCCTCCCTTGCTGCTTCTAAAATAGGCTTTCTGGAAGCTGCTTTAAATGTCACTTGGGTGCAAGCAATAGTATAAATTCCCCTTTGACCATGAAAACACTGCTAGTGATCAGTTTAACTTATCTTTAGAGCAAGACGGGACAGAATTATTTCTCATGTGTTGTAATTTCAGAATAATCAGTAATTCAGCATATCCTACGTAGTCATTCCCAGTTTTGTCTGTCTGTCTGTCTCTCTCTCTTTTTTTTTCCTAGCTTATAACAGTAAAGTGGGCTCCTGGAATACTTAAATTTTATTAGTTTTTCCAGTGGGCTGTTCTTTTTCATGCTGGATGTGGGCCGGAGCTTATTTTCATGGCCTGTTTATGGATGACCATAGATGACCCTGGCCTGTTTATAGATGACCATAGATGACCATGGCTTGTTTATAGATGACCACCTAACTGTGATTTCTAGTAGGCCATATGATCACAGCCACCCAAAATATATTCCCAAATGAAGTCTTTCCTTCTAAGAAATTGACTTTAACTAGGAAAGGAAAAGGCCTCTTTGAACTACTCTCCCAAGTGCATATTTCGCAGAGATGAAAAATTGGGCCTACCCCTGACTGAGGGGAAGAGACTGGAGATTTCAGGTGTGTGCAGTTCTTAGCTAAGAGCAACACAGTTGAAATAATTCCTAGCCGGGATGCCAGGTAAGGGAGCCCCTCAGCAATAGCAAACAAGGTGAAGGATGCCGGAGAAGGCCTCCTTGCTGATCAGTCTCTTTCCCAAAGCCTCCCATGGGCTGGCAAGCAACTTTGAACCAAGATGGAGATGTGCTGCAGTTAGGAGTATGACTTCATCAAGGCTATGATTTTACTATACATCCGCTGAGGAGCGTCCATGCCCCAGATGAAATCGAAGTGATTCCAGTCAGGCAAGAGGTCGAAGTACTGGAGATTCCCAATTTGGGGGATTACCCTGGCCACATCCTGGAGCGTCACAAGGACATCATGGCCACCAGCCCACATAGCAGTAGGCACCTTCATGGTGGTCAAGTCATAGAGCGGGGGACGGCTCTACAGAAAAGAGAGAAAGAACATTCATGAGAGAAAGCTCCTCACTACAACAACTGGGTTCAGGTACGCAGAGGGGTTGCTAAATGAGCATTGACTAGGAACACAGTTCTGTCAGGCACCGAGGGAAGTAGAAAGAATGCCTGCAATGGTCCGTATCTTCAAGGAGTATGAAGGAACAAGGCAAGATAAGTCCACAAACATTTGCCTACAAAGTAGGGTATGTCAAATGCCACAAAACATTCCCCAAATAAATGGCAGTGAAGGCAAAGAAGAAACAACTTCTGACCGGGGGCTTTCTAGAAAGAGGAGTTATTTGAAATGACTCTTGAGGGACAGTTGGATTTTGCCAGATAGGGATGAGGGTGGGAGGGCTTCCTGGCAGGTAGCCAGAGCATGTACACCATGGTCAGGATGGCAAGCTCTCCAGTGAACCCAGGGAAGAAACTGTGTGAGACAATGCAGTAGGATATAAGATTGGAGACAGACAGTCAAGCTCTAGGCTAAGGTATTTTGACATCTTTTGGAAGTTTGGGGGGGATGAAGCAGGGTCATTTCTCAGAGCTCAGTCTTAGGGTGACTGTAGGGCCATCAGTCTGGGATGCCTTGAGGAAGGAATAGGCTGGCGGTAGATCCTGGAACAATCTAGACACACAGTAGGGATGGTCCAGAGAAGGGATAATTGAAGCTATGGGGATGACTACATTCTCCAAGAGAGAAAGGGAGAGAGGTGTGAAGAATCTTGGAGGAAGGCTGACAATTTGTGAGTGGAGGAGATAGAAAGTAGACAGTGTCAATGGAGGACGAAGGAAGCAATCAAAAAGGGAAGGGAAAATTTAAGATCACAGCATCGTGGAAGTCCGGGTTGAGTGAGTGAATGGTACAGGGGCTGTGTGACCTCACAGAACATACATCTGAAGGCGAAAACAGGCCACTGGATTTGGCAATCAAAAACCACCCGCGACTTTAAATAAAGTAGCTGTAATAGAAAGATGAAGACCCAAACTACATTTTCCGGGGTTCAGGAGTGAGTGGAGGAAGGGAAGAAGTGGAGAACCCAGCCCTTTTAAATATGAAAAAATGTTGATTGAAATCAGAGGATGGAATGATGAGTGATAGAATCTGTAGGTTGATGGAAGGTTTTTGTTTGTTTGTTTGTTTGTTTCATAAGGAACAGCAATTCATTTAAGAGGTAAGAGGAGCCAGAAGGAAGAGGAGATGAGAAGAGATGGGGCCAAGGGCACAGATGCACAAACTTGGGAAATAAGTGGGCATTCATTTTCTGAGAGGAAGGAAGAAGAGAACCAAGGGGACAGAGTCATTGTAAGATGGATAAAAGGGACATTAAGAAATTTCATTCATGCAACAAGTAAGTATTAAGGGCCCAGGAAGTGCCAGGTCCTCTGCCCCGTGAGAAAACACTGGTGAAGAAAACAGAAGGAAATCTCTACCCTCGTGGAGCTGACAGGGGTTAGTCTCCTTATTCTCAATAAAATGCAGTGGGCACAAAGATTGTGCTGGGAACTTAAGAAGACGGCAAAGTAATGATGCCAGAATATAATAAAAATTGACTTCAAGTGACCTAAAATCATACTCAAAGCAGACAGGATCAGCCTGAACTCAGATTGGACCAGCTAACCATTGAGAAATTCTAAGGACACTGACACTCCCATATATTTAAGTCAGCACGTTGTATCCTTCAATCTTACAATTTTATTTGTCAGTTTTGCCTCAATAAAGCTGAAAAAGAAAGAATTTGACTAACAATGGTCTTAAGTGTATGGGTGACATTTTTGTTTCATTTTCTTGTAAATGGAAACAATATATAAATTAAATATGCTCATTAAAAATAATGGAAGAAAAGAGAAGTATGTCAAATCCAAATTGAGAGCCTCCTTAATCCTTCACATTCCCGTAATTCCTTCAGGTTCCCCTAGTTCAGTCTGCCTTTCCTTGGCTCTCTGAAGACAATTCTTTTAAGTTTTGTTGTTGCTGTGTTGTTTTTTTTTTTTTCCTGGCCCTACTCTAAGCATTTGCAAATAAATGCATCTGTGAATACATATGGTCTGAGGGGCAGGGGAAAACTTTGGGGGGTAGTGGAAACTTCTATATCTTGATTGTGGCATGGTTACAGGAATGAGTGTACTTGCCAAAACTCATTGAATTGGAAAATGTGTGAATTTTATTGTATGTAAATTATACCTTAATCAAGCTTAAAAAATAATAAAAATATACATAGCTCTCTTAGTTGTCCTAAGAGCTAGTAGAATCATTTGTCTAACAATTCAATCCATTAGTGAGAAATTGACTGGTCTGACTGACTGCTTTGATGCTCAGAAACAACTTCATTGATCTATAAATAGCCTTAAATATATCAGTCTGGGAAAATATTGGAAAAATTTAATTTAATGTGTTTGGTTCATATTGAGAAGCCCAGCTCCTGAATTTGAGGAACGAAATGGTGGCAACAGGATTATCACAGGCATAGAGGGCTAGATGAATCTCCAAATTTTAGTGTGAAAACTCAGAGGGCAAAAAGATGCTAAAGGCTCAACTCTTCATGGGTGGATAATATTCTTTTTTATTTTTTTAATTTTTAAAAATTTTTTTAAAATTTTATTATGTTAATCACCATACATTACATCATTAGTTTTTGATGTAGTGATTCTTTTAATTTTCATGTGGGATCCTATATTTTTTCTGTTGACATCCAGAACTGGGTATTCATTTTCTCTGTACATTTTTATAGATTTTTATGAAACAATTTTCATTATTATACTGTCAACAAAATTATGTTAAAAACCACCCCAGTAGCATTGGCTAGGTCTTGTGTAACTGTAAATGAAAAAGCAAGATTAAAAATTGTGTGAAAGCAGTGATACTGAGAAGATTGGAATAAATGCAGTAAAATATTGATACATATAGTGTTCTCTGGGTGGAGGGATTATAAATTATTAGAATTCCTTAAGATATCCTTCTTTTATTTCTATTCTATTTATTTTTAGATTTTCTGCAATGAATGCTTATTTAAATTAGTCATTTTCTAAAAAGCGTTATCAATGAGAATGCCACTAATTGTCAGGCAGGATTCTTTTCACTCTCCAATAATTTCTTTCTTTTTTTTTTTTTTAAGATTTTATTTATTTATTTGCCAGAGAGAGTGTGAGAGCACGAGAGAGAGAGCACAGGCAGGGAGAGGAGCAGACTCCCCGCTCAGCAGGGAGCCCGATGCGGGACTCGATCCCAGGACCCTGAGATCATGACCTGAGCCGAAGGCAGATGCTTAACCAACTGACCCACCTAGTCATCCCAATTTCTTATTATAATGTCTCAAAGCCACCCTTCTGGGGCCATTCCAAGCAGCTCACCTGATTATAGTGATGCATGTTCTCAGCTTCGCTTCCCCAATCATAAGCTCTGAATTCATCAGATCTGTAAAGCTGAAATACATGTTTTTTGGAAAAATAATCAGAGTAAGAATCACAATTTTTACAGTAAATCTTAGAAAACCACTATGCACTGGGAAGAAAATAAAGCTTTCTGGATCACCAGAAGGATATAAATACATTTTTACCACTAGAAGCACAAGGCCAACAGAGAGGGAAGCAATGGTCTCCCTTGGTTTGAAGGGACAGCTAATGGGAAATCACGACTCCTTAGGGGAAAGTCAAACCTCAGATAGTACTCTCTCCCGGGAAGGCTCTATCACCTGAGGCTTTCCCCGGTTACCTCTTGCTTCAGCTCAGGCTCTGTTTTACAAGCTCCGATCTAAGATTGGGTTCATTTATGTCACCTACTTGGTCTGTACCATACCTTGTCCTTTCCCTTCAAATCTGGGGAAATCAAACCAAAGATGGTGACAGAGACAAAATAGAAGCCAGCTTCGAACCTTCTTAGGGTAGACCTGCTAATTCTCTCCTTTCAGATGTACCGAAATAAGATTGGAAGAGTCTTCCATGACAAAGACACTACCTGTTTTATATGCAGGATGTTCTGCATTGATGATCCAGTGGGAGCATGTGACATATACACATCCATTCGACTCTGAAGGGAAATAAAACATACTATAGCAAAAATCACCCAGTGAAAGAAAGTATACCTCCCAGAAGCAGAGAACAAGTGTGCTAAAAATTAGCAAACCAAAGCTGGGGTTTGGGAAATGACAAGGCCGAATCATCTAGGTAAATAAGAGCTCATGTCAGTTCATGGATTGCTTGAGAGCCAACGTGCACCAGCTCTGAAGTCGTGGGATAATTTGGAAGGAGGGGGGTGCTGTGCGCATGCATGTGGGTGTGCCCTGTCTCAGATCCGGGCGTCAAAACACCTGGGCTTCAGAACTTAACTCTTTTTTTTTTTTTAAAGATTTTATTTATTTATTTGACAGAGAGAGACACAGTGAGAGAGGGGACACAAGCAGGGGGGAGTGGGAGAGGGAGAAGCAGGCTTCCCGCAGAGCAGGGAGCCCGATGTGGGGCTTGATCCCAGGACCCTGGGATCATGACCTGAGCCGAAGGCAGACGCTTAACGACTGAGCCACCCAGGCGCCCCCAGAACTTAACTCTGTTAATTATAAGCTTTGTGACTTTGTGTAACTTGTGAGTTTCTGTATTTTCACCTATTAAATGAACACACTAAAAGTCATACTGTGCCAGGCTTTTGTGAGGATAAGATAAAATATTGCAGAAGAAAAGCTAAATATAATCACTTCCTATGCGCTGTGCTTCGGTCTTTGTAAACAACATAGAGATGAATATTATAGAGATGTACTAGCAATCGGAATCCTATGTCTTAGAACACTGTAGAACGAAAGTAATCAAGGGAACTATTAAAAATGTTTACTTTTGAATAAGCAGGCTTTGAACAATGGTTCCTCTTGTATTTCGATCTGGCACAACTACACCTCTTGAATAGGGGTAGGGTGGGCTGGCGGAGAAAGCTATTTGGGGACTAGCTTCACTGTACCAGCCTCATTGGCTGCCATATGGAATGTGACAGAACTAGCTGTTCAACCACATTAGCCTGCACATGCACACTCTTCCTCCTCCTTGAATTCTCCATAACAGGAAGCAAAGAGTTGATGAAACAGGATTGCTCCTCTTTTGTGGGAAAGGGGTTCTATCTCTGTTCCATTCTGTCTGTGCCTTCCAAGTTAAGTGGGGAGTTTTATCTGAGGCCAAAGTCACCCAACAAACGAAGGCACACAGGAAATAAGTTCAATGCTTGTCTGGACTTCTTTTCTGGGATTTTTTTTTTTTAAAAAAATGCATGGTATTCGTTGTAAAATCAAATTGACTATAGGGAACGTGTGACACTCCTACCCATGATGGACGTCTGTTTTCCTAAATATGACCAGGGATGGAAAGATGAACCTACCTATTCTTTCCCCCAGTTTTCACATTCATGGTCCATTGAATACCCAATCTATGCATAGCAAATCTCCTCCTTTACAGTTTAGAATACCACATTAGTTTATACAGTGTAATAGATACATCAAGGTGAGTCAAAGAAAAGCTGGAATCTCTCTTTTTTTTTAAAGATTTTATTTATTTGACAGAGAGAGACACAACGAGAGAGGGAACACAAGCAGGGGGAGTGGGAGAGGGATAAGCAGGCTTCCCACAGAGCAGGGAGCCTGATGTGGGACTCGATCTCAGGACCCTGGGATCATGACCTGAGCTGAAGGCAGTCGCTTAACCAACTGAGCCACCCAGGCGCCCCGAAAAGCTGGAATCTCTTAAAGCATCAAATGGTCCCATAATCATTATACGTACCGTATTCATATTTTTCTTGTTGGATCCAGCCCATAAGGACATGAGTTCACTACATATCACCCATAATATTTTATTGTTGCAGAGTTTGAGGGAACGTTCCCTTCCCGTCTTTAAAAATATACCTTTGGTACCAAAAATACCCTGTAAAAATAAACAATAATTATCCTTTCAAGAATTATTTTCAGGCTTCTTGACATTCCCTTCATCCCAGGAATAAGGATTCTTGGAGATCTATTTCCATTTGTATTTGCTGTTTCTGCCAAGGAGACTAAGTCATTTGGGAAAAGGAACTATTTATGAACCCATCTCTATCCAGGGAAGATCAACAAACATAATTTAAAAAGAGATTGCAGTAAGGCTCTTCAACCCCAAATTTGCTTCTCCATGGTGAAGCTCCCCTATTCTGTCCAATTGTTGACTGCCTATGTTTCTTATTTCTCATTAATTGGCAAGAAAGGCAGAGCACTTTCTCCTTAAGGCCAAATATTGCCTTGACTAGGAAGGAAAAGCAAGGTTTCCCCTACTACGCATGTGCACATCATCTTTTTAGCCGCGTCCCAGAGGAGCCAGCTCTTGGGCTGGAAAGCAGACCATGGAGTACTGAGAGGAGGGGGCCACTGGACAGAAAATACTTGATATAATGGGACACAGCACAGCTAAAACTTCTAGGGCTTGAGAGAGTAAGCTTGGGTGGGGCTCTCTGAGGGGAGGACTGAAGCTTCTGGGGACCACAGACAGGAAGTGGTGGGAAGGGTCTGGGAATGGGTCTGAAAGTGGCAGGAAATCTGACAGGAGGTAATATGAAACTGAGATAAGCCTCAGACCCACCTATGCCCACAAAGCCACATATATGTAAAATATAAAATGCAAAAATGATGTATTTAGAGATAGATGTGTCTACCTCCGAATGTAATGTAACTTATCTGCTCAACTCTGCCCAAATGTAGAAAACACCCCAAACTAATGGGTGTCAACACACTTTGGCAACAGAACTATCAACCACACAAAAGAGAAATTGCATCACTTGAGCTTACAGTAAACAGTACAATAAAACCATGGAACCAATCATTAGGCTCTATGGGAATTCATCCTTGTGTTAGCTCACAAATAATTTTTTTTCCATTCCCACCCATTCACCCTAAGCCAGGGCCTCATTTTACGTATGAATTACTGTGAAACCCTTATCCGTCTCCTTGATTTCATTTTGGCCAAAATTCATCTTAGCCGACACCCCAAATCAAAAAGGCGATTTTGCCAAAATACTATGTTTATCATGGCAATGACCTTTTTAGAGAAACAAAAGCAAACAGAAAAAAAAAAAAAAAGAAAAAGACTTTTGATGGATAAATTCCCAAATCCATAATTGGCAACCAAACTACTTTTTCAACCCCTGGAAAATAACCAATAAATGTCTGAACGAATAATTGAGCTGTAAGACATTTAGGTTTTGGAATCATAGCTTTGGTAAATTAAAGCAAGCTCCCCTAAGGGAAGGGGTGTATTATTCAGGCTTATCTAACATCATGTCTTCCATCTGGGCATCGTGAATTTATTGACCTGTCCGGTGGAACAAGAATGGAATGAGAAAATTGTGAGTGGATTTTAAACTACATCACAGTCACCTAACTAGAAATTCTGATATACACTCAGGTCTGCTAATGACTGAGTACAGTAAATTGTATATGGGAATTGTAGACACGCACATGGTTACAGACACGCACATACACGGACACACATACACGCACACCCACACACACACAAAGCACACCGTCACAGAATCTGGTTTCTACAGATTTCATGTAAATTTCCTACTTTCCTACTTTCGCTTCATAATAGATTTTGCAATAATAAGGATCTACGGTCCAAAATGGGATCCTCAGAGACATTTTGGCGAAAATGAGAAGCCTACCTTGATTACGGAATTTGGAAGTAGAAAAAAACTGGTAAAAATGCCCGTGGGATATTTGAATGAGACCACAGGACCCAAGGCAAAATTCATTTTGATTCTCTGTGCCAGTTCGGGCATGGTGGCAAAGGCTACAAACCCTAAGAGAACAGGAGACAAGACAGTTTTGTAAAAATTAGAAATGCTGAGGCAATGTCCCTACTAACAAGAGTAGGACTCTGCTTTGACAGCTTATCCCTCTATTGCGATGATCCTGCGGCTGAACTGGGAAACTCTCCTGAGTTGTTCAGCAAAGATAATCTGCCTTCAGTCCTCTCTGCTCTCAAGTGTCCATTTTCCTCGTATTCTGGACAATTTGACTTGGTTGGGGGGAGTGAGGGATAAGCTGCTCGAGCCGCCACTGCCGAGGGGTCCCGGGGACAGCTTTACCCCCCCCCCAGCCTGCTCCCCGCCACCTCCCCGCATGGGCTAAGCGCTAGCAATTCTGTCATTTTCCCGCCAACCCTGAGATGCCAGGATGAGTCACAGAGCTTCCAGAAGTAAACGATTGGTTCACGGGAGGTGAACCAATCAGTTCTTTATGCAGTATTATCCAGTGATCCCACAGTTGTTTTTTCTCACAGTGCAAAGAAATTTCATCCCTCCCAGTGCTTCACTGGATGCTGACCAACCTCCAGAATGTTCCCTGATTTCCCTCAGTCCTCTGTGGTCTTGATAAGGACCAGCTGTCTCCATTCGCTCCGACTTTTCAGCAACAGCATAGCATGCATTTCTAGCCCTATGAGGAGGAGGATGGCAAGCAGCACTGCACAGGGAAGTATGTGGAGTGTCTGTGTATTTTGGTTCCCTGAGATGCCTTCCAGGGACCCTGCCACTGTGTGTGTGTGTGTGTGTGTGTGTGCGCGCACACGTACGCTCCTGCTTTTTTTCTTGAAGTTCTCGTTGAAACATTGAAACCATTTTGGCCAGAAAAAGAACAGACTTTGTATTAATTGGCTGAGCCAACAAAGACTGAAACTGGTATACTGGTATAATACTTCCCCTGGGAAGATCTCTGGTAGTGTGTGGAGGTGAGTTGTTCCGCGCTCACACTGACTTGTAGTGTAAGCTGGAGCATGGGTTTGCTAAATGTCTAGAGTGGGTCCTTCCCACATAACCAAAATTGCTCTGCCCCAAATGTGGAGGATGTTCACTGAAAAATTCATGCCCTAAATGCAAGGCAGAGCAATGCTGATCAGATATTTTCTGTTTTCTTTGCAGATCAGATGTAAGAGCATATCTACTCCTGCCCACTTTTCTAGACCCCACTCAAGTCATACCTTAACCATCCGGTTCCTCCACATGCCCAACACCCTCACTGCGGGGAGGCAGACTGACCTGATTTGAATCTGTGTTCTTAAAATTAGAAATTTTAGTGGAAGATCACTAACAAATTCACAATATTCATAGTATGGATTCCTCTAAATTTTTATTTGGAGCTGGATTTTTGATTTCTTTCTAAAAGATCTAGTAAATCACTAAGAAGTACATTTTCAGAGAGCTGGATCTTGAACTTTTAAAAATTTTCTGTATAGTGCTTGAATTTAATTGCTATTCCATAAATATTAAATTGCACGCTAAATAGATAAGCCCAGTTGATGTATGCTTTTGTATTTCAACTAAAAAAAAGTGACTGTAGGGGCGCCTGGGTGGCTCAGTCGGGTAAGTGTCTGCCTTCGGTTCAGGTCATGATCCCAGGGTCCTGGGATCAAGCTCCGCATCAGGCTCCCTGCTCATCGGGGAACCTGCTTCTCCCTCTCCCTCTGTCCCTGCCCCTTCTCATGTGCTCTCTCTCTCTCTCTCAGATAAATAAATAAAATCTTTTAAAAAAGTGATCATATATTTTCAATTCGTTCAAATGTAAGTATAAGCTCACCCTTTGATTATTTTTTAAAATCCCAAATGGATTGTGAGGAAGGCATGATTGACACATACTTATCATCCTTCAGGGATATTTCATGTCATTAGGCTTTACTATTTTAGCTCAGAGGGGACCTAGAAACTTACTTTGGAAATACTTCAGTTTGGGGGCACATGGAAATTATATCACCATTACAAAAGTGCTGTTGTAACCAGAGATGGAGGAAAGATTTGCCTGACACACAGTCTCTGAAATTCAAGTTCACAGCCACTTGCTGTGGCTAGTAGGGCACTAGCACGTGTCTAGCACAAGATGGGAAATTAAGGGCACAGTAAATGGCGGTGATTCTGTTCCAGTTGAAAGGCGAACCTTGGGAGGCTCTGACTCTTGTAAAACACTGACGTTTGTAGACATACCTATTGTAGTGCCAAGTGAATGCCCAATGAAATACAGCTTCTCCTGACCAGTTTTATTTACAATGAAGTCTATTATTCCCGGGAGGTCGTATTTGGCCATTTCATCGAAACTGCAAAATAAAACGGGGGCTCATAAATACTCGCCACTAAGTTTAAACTCAGAGCACCTGCTCACTTACTTTTTATACACAGAATTCTGTGGCGGTCGCTCTTTTGGAGTGCATCTTATTATTTACCCAATCACGTGTTGGCTAGTGTAGCTTTTGTTTGCTGCATTTATGTGCGTTACAGTCTAATAACAGGACTGATTTCAAAACCTGTGTGTACTGTCTGAAGGCCAGTCCTACCTTTTCTCCTCTTCTTGTCCTTCCGTTTCCCCTGCTTTGCCTGCCTCTTCTTCAAAAACCCACAGGGCACTTCCAGACCTTCGGGCCATTTCATACTCAGCTTTGGAAACAGAACTGGTTGCAAATCATGCTTCTAGCTGAGAAACTCTTGATAAGTTACTTAAATGCTCTGGGCTTCAGTTTGCTCATCTGTGAAATGGACATAATACCTGCTCTCGAGCAGGGCTGTTAAGGGGATTGGATGACAGTCAAGTCATGACTCAGGTGCACCTGTTATTATTGCTTCTTTCCGCATTAGAGATATGTTCGATATCTACCAACATGCCATAGCCCCAGTTCTACTGGAATTAACACAGGAGAACCAAAAGACTTACGTAATATTTAGTGGAGCCAGGTAGCCCATGGGCTCAAGGCTTGCTTATCAAAAGGACATGTGAGGAAATAGGAAATCTGTAGGCTGACACTCCCGAGTATAAGAGAATTCTTGTGATGTCTTATAGTAAACAAGCTTCAAGCTCCCAGCCAAGGGCCAGTGACACAAAATATTTCCTGATATTTGCTCCTGCCCCAAAGCTCTGGCCCTAACAATTTATTCTACCCTTCCTTCATTCTCAACCTGTTAGTGGGTGCTGAATATTTCATTAATATGGTAGGAATGCACACTCTGTTCTAGCTTAGCCTTGCAAAGGGAAGTCTCTTGCAGGCATCAGCCTGTCCTCTGGTGACAGCAGAAAATACTTTCAGTCAAAGAGGCAGCATACGAGAACATTGTTCTCCATTGCCCATTCACAAGGTTTTAAAGACCTCATATTGGAGTTCTCTTGAAAAATGGTACGCAATACAGTCTCAACCAGAATTTCTCTAAATAAAATATAGTACTGGTATACATCACCTCTGCAAAATTGATTGGCCTGTCCAAGAGAAAAGACCTGGATTAGCAGCACTAGAATGAATAGAAGCTTCGTGAGGGCAGGTACTTTGCTCACTCTTGAGTGCTCAGGGCCTGGAACTGTACATATAGTAGACACTCAGCAAACATTGGTTAAGTGAGTGTGTGCACCGATCATAGGAATTCCCTGAGCTGTCCCTTGGGACAGACTTATAATGTATATTATTGGATAGAATTGCATGTTAAAATCATCATGTTAAAATGATATAATGTGCTTGTGGGAGAATCAGTGGAAATCTAACTTCTTGCTATTTCTCTGCTTTGAGATATTAGTAGAAACTACAAGGAACTATGTGACTTCCAATGTTACAGATTATTATTAACATCATCCACACTATTATATTCAAAGAAATTGCCTCGAACTTTCTTCATGATTTTTCTTAGATACAATTTACCTAAAGGCCCAGAATTTTTCTTCAGTCACTGAGAGTGTTGTGTGTCTTCTTGACCAAGTGTTCCCCCGGCTGTTTCCCATCCAGACATCATAACCTGCATCTGCTAGAAGGAATCCAAGGCTGCCATTGGCAAAATTCTCCAGCCAAGAGGCATTGTCTGCAAATAAGGCATGTTGCATATATACGACTGGCCGGGGCCCTGGAAGGAGAGAGGAAGAGAGAGGAGAGAGAGAATAATTTATGATAAATAGAGCATCTCAGGAACATGATAGAACCGCCCCCCCCACACACACACCCCCCACACCAGAAGAAGCAAAAACCAAAATCAGCATTCACCTTCCCCCTGGTCATTTGTGTAGAGCGTGAGAATCACGTAAGTTTCTTGAGCACGTGCATTATACCTGGTGCTATGCTGACAGATGAACAGATGAACACACATGAGCTTGTTACATTCTCATAATACCTCTATTATGATAGCTACTATTTTAAGGATCTTCATTTTATAGATGCAGAAACTGAGCTTTAAGGTAATGAAGTAACTTTCCCAAGGGGCCACCCAGTTAACAAGATGCAAAGCCAGGACGAAAGCCCAGTTCTGTTTCACACCAAAGTGGGTGCTCGTAACTGAGCTCACTGCTCTATGAATTCGCATTTGCCTATCTCTGGGGTCTGACTTGCAAAGACAGGAAAATGATCGTGTTTGATGGAATCCCATGCCTCTTCCAGGGAGGAGGAGGACGAGAGTGTAAATGGACAATGACTGGTTCCTCGCCAAGCTTCCAGCCAAATCCCCAGCCTCTGCCCACCAGAGAGCATTTGAAAACCCCAAATATAATAGAATCGGCTCAACATCCCTCTGACAACTGTCAAATTCCTGAGGGAGAGGCTATTCAGGGAGATGAGGAGAACCAATGCAGAAGGTTCCAAAAAGGCACCATAATTTAGTGGGTAAGACCATGGGCTCTGGAGCCAGGCTGGGTATGAATCCTGATTCCATCACTTGCTATGTGTGTGACTTTGAGCATTTTACAGAGCCTGCTCAGGTTCATCATCTGTAAAATGATAACTATTCATAGTACCGACCTCCTAGGGATGAGAGGTTTATTGGATATAAATTAATGTAAAGCTTTGAGAATAATACATTTAATCAATGGTTCTTAATTCCAAACCTTCCCCAAATTCTCCCTTCTTAAGTAAAACTTTTCCTGGAAAAATGCTCTCCTTTTAGAGTTCCTAGCCCCCTCCCCCCAAGGCTGGTGTTGCCAGATGTTGCAAAAAAAATGAAAATGAAGATTAAGAGAAGACTCAGGATGTCCTGTTGATTAGAATTTCAGATACAGGATGAACAATTTCTGTATAAGTACATTCTAAGTGGAACTTGTCCGAGAAACTGATTTGTTAGTAATCTGAAATTCAACTTCAACTGGTGTCTTCCATTTGTTTCTTACAGGTCATGATCCTGGAGTCCCTGGATCGAGTCCCGCATCGGGCTCCCTGCTCG